ACCTTTATGGCAGGCAGGAAAACGTAAGGATCTTTTCTGTTAATTCACTCCAAAATATTAATTCCCTCCAAAAGAATAAGAATTTGTATTTACTAAAATTCACAACAAATTCTCCCAGAGCGAGGTCCTTCCATTGCACTATGGTTGGATTGACATTTGCGATCGCCTCAAATATGGGCGTCTCCTGTTCGCTGTTTCTAAGTTTGGGTCCTACATTTTCGCTCGCTCTGATAAAAAAGCCAATTTCCTGTAAGTACCTTGAATACCATCCGCATTTACGAAATGTTAATAGCTCCCTGAGAAGACCCATTCGGAAATCTCCAATATCCTTATTACATCATCCACAACACAAAGAGAAAAGCACAAAAAATACACAACCGCAACAAAAATAACAATATTAGCCAGAATAATAAATTAAACAAAAACACATGCATAACGCTACCTACCAACTCCATAATACCCACTCTCCAAAACAACTTCTATAAGTAGGTATATAAGTGGGTATATAAGCCCATAAATGTTGGTTTCCTGTACACCGATGTTAGAAAGCTTGTATTCTGTTCTGTCTACCATGACATCGAGAAGTGACAGAAAGCTTTCTTTTTCCATATAAGATACATCGCCGGGAACAATGTATTAAATGACTGATGGAATACCCCGAGTTCAGCCTCATTTTCAAACACACTATAGGTGTCATCTACTAGTATAAAATAACACTTAGGTCTTTCAATGCCTGCAAGCCGATTTTTGGTGAAAAAAAAAACCCTAAAAAAATGAAATAATCAGATATATTGGCAAATGTTGGGCGTAATGAATTACCCATCGCTATTCCGTCTTTTTTCCTGTACATAATCTTATTAAAGATGAATTCTAAGAAATAGTGTCGATTTCAATCAATTCCATAAAGACAGTCTTATGAATACCTGGGTAGGGATAGCTACCGCACAGCACATCAACGCAAATAAGTGTGAACATGTGTACAAAACTATTAATATCAAATGTGCATATGAACTTATCTTCAGCACTGAATGGACGTTTCATCGTAGAGTTGGCAGAATAGATGAGTCTTTAACACAATTAGTTAAATAACATTCCGGCGCAGCCAAGCATCTTGAATATGATTTTAGTCTTTATGGTGTGCCTGGTTGAACACATGACTAGATTTTACCTGTCTTAATTAATTGACAGTAAAAGAAACCAAAATCAAAATGAACGTAAACACTGACGGAAGGTGTATAACCAAAATAATACTGGCAAGAGCCAGATGGACGAATAAGCAGTCAAGACAGTGATCAAAAATGGACGTTGATTGACTTGCAGAGACCAATTACGACACTTCTCGAGTATCACGTGACAGTTCGGCTTTCCCCGAAAGCCTCTTCTTTCGTCAACAGAAGTGAGTTTTGCCTCGTGGCTTATTTGTACATTCGTGCAATAAATATCGGTCTTCTCTGAAGTGAGGCGTGGTGTTTGACTTCACCCCCCGCCATATGCCCTGTTAATGTTAACAGCAGTTTGAGAAGCACTAGGACCAAACGTGAGCATGACATGTTTATTTTTTCATGCTAGCGGATAATCGAATTGATACTTTTTTTTTCTGCAAATGAACACACGTACGAGCCTACTTAATAACTCTTTTACTCTTCTTATGATACTGAGAGGAAATAAATACTCTGATTTTATTTGGAAAAAAACATATTTGCTTAGCTTCCAAACAGTATCGTTTTGTAAAGTTTTCGAAGCTTACATTTCTAAATTTTTTACACATCATATCGAAATAAAGATGTCTACTTTTTTTTATTTCAAATTTAACTTTATTTTTGTACGTTACTAATGAGAACACAAGACCAGATATCACGTACGTAACTCTAGATTTTATTTAACTCCGTTCTTTACTGTCTGCCAGTGAATATATGTCTGTGGGTTTTTTTTCGTGGATCCTACATCACGCCATGATGTGAGGCGCTCATTCGGTCTTATCAAGATGATGTTTATACAGGTGGAAAGAAACTCTGTATTGGAAATTACTTACAGCTTTTTTAATATCACACATTTCATGAAAAAACAAATATTGTGATTCCTAAAGTGGTAAATTGTCATTTGCTAATTACTGTTGTCTAATAATCTGAGTTACCCCAGTCTGTCTTCCTTCAACATGGCTTAACCTTCAGATGGCTTCCTTCAACATGGCTTAACCTCCAGATAAGTGAATCGTTTCGCCTTCTGGAGTTTCTGACATGAAGTGGAAAGACTACATTGAATCCACTGCTAAGTCAGTGGTTAAGAAAGTTGATTCACTGTTCCGTGCGAGACAATTTTTCTCTCCAGAGTCTATCTTACATATTTATAAGTCTACCATTCGCCCATGCTTAGAATATTGCTGCCACAAATGGTCCGGTGCCCCTGCTATTTACCTTGAACTCCTTGATAGAATCCAAAGAAAAATCAGCAATATTATTCGTCATGTTCTGGTCGCTCGGCTTCAGTCCCTTTCCCACCG